TTGTAAAGGACAGTTCTTAAATCTTTTCTTAAAAAAAAAAAAAAAAAGAAAAAGAAAAAGAAAAGAGCAATATTCCCTGTCTTCTAGTCTCCTATAGCAGTAGCTCCAGGCAAATGACATGTCAGGTGTTGAGGATCTGTAGTTATATACACTATGTTCCTCCCTGTGCTATTGTAGTAATGTGTGTTAGTCACAAATAGTTAAGGCATTTAGTCATTTAAATGAAAAGTGTTGATTTCCTGTCTCTCACAATCAGAGCAAAGTCCCACTGCATGAAATTAGCAATTAACAATGCAACAAGAAGGGCAACAGAATTAGACTGAAATACAAATGTATCCAAATAAATCTTATTGCACCTCAATGGACACAAAAATGCACTTAATTTATTTTCAAAGCTGGTCATTCAATTTAGAAAGAGCCACACAAGTTATTTGGAATAACTGAACTGGACAGGCATGGCATATTTTAATTCAAAAGAAGAAACAAAAAAGACAGAGTTCAGTTTCCTCATTTTATATGAGGAAGTCCTAAATGAGTTTGCCTTTCTACTATACCTTAAGGACAGATCCAGCAAAATTCTGGGAGTACTTTACAATACCATCTTTAGCCAATGAGGTTTTCCTCTTCCTAGCCCTAAAAGACGAGGAAACTGTCATTTTAAGATATTTGGTCAGGTTCATTTTCCCATCACGTGGTAGCATGCGCTTACAATTGATTAAATGTCAAAGCAGAAATTCTCAAATCAGTCCTTACTGGGTCTTTGAATAACAGGATTATTTTTCAGTTTGAAAAAGTTACTTTAACTTATTGGGTCATAATCAAAGGTGACTGCACTGATGACAGCATGATGTTTCTAACCTGCACTCAAATAGCAGAGGGGATTTACTAGAAGGAGATTCATCTGTGAGTAGAAAGTGTGATAAGCTGAATTTGTCTGTACCTTCCTACTGTCTTTCTAGAGTCCCTGGAAAGAGAGACTTCAGACTCTTTTAGCAGTCCTCTTTACTAGAGCAGGGCCTTATACCTAGGAATTGAAAGTGCTGACAGACAAGGGGCCCCTAATCTCAACTGCTGAGAAGCCTGAAACAATGGAGTAGGGAAGTAGATGTTGGTACAGCTTCATAAAGAGAAGCAAGTAAAATAATCAAAAGAAATGTGGTCGATCCTTCTCCCAGCCTGACACACTTGCCTGAACTCCTGGTAGAGCCCACAAGAACAGTATTTCAGAAAACTTACCTAAACTGATTTACGGATTCACAAAGAACAGAAAAATTAATGTTTTAATACTGCCAGGAAGAAAACTTGCATCTGATACAGGAAGGTGGGGAGAGAGGGAAAGGCTTGTCAAAAGGAACGCAAGATGTTCAAAACACCTCAAATGTTTAGGAGTTATTAAAAGAGAAATTATTACTAGGTCTTTTTTAGTGTGGTTTCTGAAAATAAACAGAAAGTATTTAGGAGGAAGACAATTCTGTCGTGTTATTTCCTTTAAGTGCACTGAGGGGTTGCAGCAACATGGGGAGAACCAGCGAGAAAAACAGAGATTGCTAGGGCAGATAACTGAAATGGGCACAAACTGAAACATAGGAAAATATAAGAAAAAACATTTTGTACTGTGAGGGTGCTTGAGCACTGAAACAGGTTACCCAGCAATAGGCCCATATTTTCTTTGTTCAGCCTTTTACTGCTACTGTTGCAGTAAAAGCTGCTCTTGCTGCTTTTGACATCCCCAGCAAATTTCAATGCCAGCTGAACTTTGGCTTTCCTGACACCATCCCAGTATGCCTGAGCAATGTTTCTAAACTCCTCCTTTGTAGACTGTCACTTTTTACCCTCCTGTGCACTGCCTTTTGCCATTGGACCTCAGTTGCTAGTTCCCTGCTTAGCCAAGCTGGTGTCCTAACAGATCTACTTGCTTCCCCGCATATCCATCTTCGTTTCTGTTGGGGTGTAAAATGGTCATAGCTGGCTCAAGCCAGTGTCCATGCAACTGGATATAATTCAGGTGCAACCCTGGACAAACCCCCCAAAAAACAAACTTTCAACCTTTGCCAATAGAGAAGAACTGCTCACTTAAGAAGCTTGGAAAGCACTGACAGATATGGAAGAAGTTCAAGAAATATTAGATATTGCAATGCAAAATTCAAAGCATTAAGAAACCCTATAAAGGCTTCTGGGAAGAAATAGTGAAATCCATGACAACAGCAAGCGGCAGAGCAGCATTAAAAAAAGCAAACACAATACACAGGCAACTTGAGTGGGGGGGGG